ACACACACACACACACACACACACACACACACACACACACACACACACAAACAAACATGTCTTGATCAATTGCACGGTGCTTGCATTAGTCGTCATCTTAAATCATATACTGATACACCCTACTATGTGTTTTTCTTTTAATAAAGCCAAAAACAGCAGTAGCCTAATTCATATACAGCTGCTAATCAAAACTCGACTATCGTTGTGTGTTTTTTTTTCGCTATTTATTTTACAAAAAGCCTCGCACTTTTAAGAAGTCTCGTCTCTGAATGGCACGAGGAGCATGCCCAGCTAAATTCGATAAGACAAAGCAAAAAAAAATACCTATCAATGCACGAGATCCCAATGGAGTAGGCTCAATGTCGTTTAAAAGTTGCCTCTTCAGTGCAAAGTTAGCTTCGAAAACGAAGTGGAAATCTCTCTTCGCCTCTTCGTTGCATAACGAATGAATTGAAGACAGGGTAAAACTAAACGGATCCCAAAACTAGAAGACTACTTAAGATCGCTGTTGAAATAAGTAATAAGCGCCTTTCACACATGCTGTCTCAAGGACCTACATTTGGCCCAACAGAAAATGGAAACCTCGGATGTAAGCAGTAGCCCAGTTAAGTTCCGAGTGAATGGCTCAAGAGGACTTTCACTTATCAAGTTCGTTTGCTACGAGTGGGTGAGATTCAAACAATCAAAACTGCGAACACTTTAAACGGCGTTTGCAGAGTAACTTACAATACAAGAATCACGGAATAAAGCTAAAAATACAGAGAAGTTCATTATAAATAACGACGAGTATTTTAACTTTCTATGTGCTATAAATATCAGCACAATGCCCAAATGTGTAAAGAAAGGCACTGAAGCACCGCAGTATGGCGACCCACAAAGAGCGAATGTAAAGTATGTTAGACTTCTGTAATACATCAGACAGAAATACGAGATATATCATTACTTTATGTACAGTCCCTCTCTAATGGACACCTGTCTAGGACAACCATGTACAAATGACCACTTCTCACCCACCCCCACCCCCTTGTGTTTATGTTATAATGACACTGTCCAAGATGTCCCCTTGTCACCCCCCCCCTCCCCCGCACTTTTCTCATCGACAATGGTCAGCTGTGTGGACAAATTCGACAGCATTTTGATTTACATCATATTTATATTATTTTTACGCCACTCAGGGACAAAACTATTGGAATATCATCACGCCCCTTGATATTTTGCGCGATGTTTAAGCCATGTGAGGAGGGGCTGTTGGAGCTACGTCCATCCGTGTATCATGTAGCGGTCAATGTCCAGCTGTGTGGCGTCCTTCGTGAGACCACAGCGCCTAGTGAAGGTGTTCCCGTACGTCCACATCCACTTGTTGGCCACTGGGGAAATGGTAGCGCGAGGGATCAGTAAGTTATAGTCAATTATGGCTCACAATTATGACATTTGGCGATATTTATTTATTCATTCAACATAGAAAAAAACTAATATAATATGAGTATCAAGAATACATTTTATGTAGTTACGAGTACGTTCAATTCGTGATGCGACAGCTTTGAAAACATTCCCGTTAAACCTTTAGCGTGAAAAGAGACCAGGGTCACTTTAGAAGTTTTTCTGCATCATGTACATTGTGTATTTATTTACCCCAGTGTGTCTTTATGGCATCCAACAAAAATCAGCCATCCTACAAGTGTGCAATTTTTCTTGTTATGTTGCTTTTTTCCCAAAGCCATGATATCCTGGTGGAATCTTTCACCATAAATAATATTAATAAAAATCAGCACTCACGTTTACCGTAAAGAAATCAAGGTGGCTGTGAAAGAGAATGAATTTTCAAAGAACCCTAGCTCCAAAAAATTGTATTATGCTGTTAGAAGTTCCTCCACGAAAAGCTTCATGGTTTTCAATATTGAGACACCCAAGAAAGTTTTGGCACAAAATTATTTATAAAGACTGACCAGGCCTTTTTTAGCGAGGGAAGTCATCTTCTGTTCAGATGTGTCACCACACATGATTCCTAATGCTAGGTCCAACAAAAATGCCCTCTTTCGCTAATGCTTTGGGAACTGCTTCAAGAGTTTTGGTGAAATGTTTCATAAAAACCCAAGTTCTATAATCGTGATAACAGAATACTTTTGGGGTCGACTAGAGGTTCAAAAAGAATATTTTCTGAGCCACAATGATAATATTGTCATGATCTTGTAGCCCATATTCGTTGTTCGTAGTATTTTGGACTAAAATGTAGCTTTGCGTTACCAAAGACACAAAAAGCAAAAATATGTTTGTAAACCCACCCTGCAATTCCACGAGCAGATCAATGACTTTCAGGTCCCCACCTATGTGCCACTTATACTTGTCATAAACAAAGGCACTGAGCGGTGAAAATAAGGCTGTTCTTGTCACCAAAATTAGTCCAGTACATTGAAATGTGGGTGTGAAAAGGCCCCAGCAAGAAGAATAAGGGATGTCCTTGCACAGCCCCCGTCCTGACAATTTGGCGGCACACCACACGAATACAAAACATATTGTGACAAGACACTAAATACTAGAATTATTCACAAAATTCCACAACCAAATCATGGAAATCACCTAGCATAACTTTAATAACTGATTATCAATTATATAATTATTTGAATTATTTGTCGGTTAATAACACAATTGAAGAATACTTGTTTGTTGTTGTTGGTTTGTTTTGTTTTGGGGTTTTTTCATTGTCTTTTGAAGTTTGGTTTACATTATTTTATTAATGAGAAAGAATCTACGGACGTTTGGAGGTCGCCAGTGGTAAGCCCTACTTCTTTACTTCCCCTCTGTCTTTGGGTCATTCCCAAAGGGGGGACATTAACGTGTTCTTATGCACTGTAAAATTGTAAATGGGCTGATTCATCAATGTCATGATCATAACTGTGCCTGATCTACAACAGGGAACTGCTGCTTTTTCTTTCCTAATCCTTACCATCGTCATTTATCCTCTACTTTTTTGGTATGTTTATCACACTCGTGTGACCCGCTATTTCCGGGGTGCCTTGATAGTCGAAGCAGACTTAGTGCTGTTGAAACTAGAGAGGTGAGCAGAGTAAGCCTGATTCCCTGTAAAGGCTCCTCTGTTGACATCCACCCCTTGGCGCTCATATGACCTCATGATGTTGTGAGCGCCGTAAATACTCTTCAAAATCAAAACAAACTTTCCCTTTCTATCAATCTATCTTACTTTTTCCGAGCACAAAATAACCGTTATTGTGTCGATGTGCTTCTCTTTGCTCAAACAAACAAATCGAAGGAGTCTCAACTTGAAATAAAAAGTTGCTGGAAAATGTAAATAAAACATGCAAATAAAACACGCTTGGTTTGTGACCTTTTTGAAAGAAGTCATTTACCTGCTTCCTCTAAAAAAAAATGAAAAATGCCTAGAATTATGGGAGGGCACGCCGGGTTCGAGCCTCTGTTCGGACACGAATTTTTTTCACCACCTCATGCCCACCTAGCAGTAATGGGCACCTGACTTCGAGTTGGGGAAGTAAAGGCGAAGTGGAAAGGAACTGGCCACCCTACCACAATATGCCGAAGGCCCAGGAAGTTGTCTCACTAACGAGGCAATCCCCATTGCCCGGATCGGATGCAGGAACAACTTTACTTTTTTTTTAAATATTTTTTTAGTAGAGGTTTTACAGCACTCGCAAACTTTACTTTTACTTTTACCTAGAATTATATAATATAAATATGTGAATTCAGCAAAACCTGACCTGATAGACGAAAACGCATAACATATTTGGAATCAGTCCATCAAATTTCACGATATTTCAAAACTTTCATAGCTAAGCCTTTTTCGCCGTTGACCAGGCTTACTTTCATCTGCTCAGTAACAACAACAAATTAATATGCAGCTGCGAACAGAAAAACGTAATCGCATTAGCGTAACATTTCTTTCAACGCCCACTATCGCTTGACACCTCGAAACCGTAAAGAACTAGACCTTTTTTTAAAAATAAGTACTATTCGATGAAATGAAAGAAGAATCCAAAGAGAAACTGTCAAGCAAACAACAGAATTTTTTTTTATATGCATCGCTAGAAAACAAGAACATAATCATTAATATGGGAAATTCTTGATCAATGGAATAACACAGCTGGAAATACTTACATAGCAGGCACGAACAATCAATGTGTAAAACGTGTGTGTGTGCGTGCGTGTGTGTGTGTGTGTGTGCGTGTGTGT